TCCTCCGGCCAACGGTTAATCTGCCCAGCTACCCTGGTTGTTAACAGAAACGAACACAATCCTTCTGCAGAGCAACCTTAATACTATAATCAAGTGGAGGGCAGTTTTCTCTGCCTTAGCAGCCAGGGAGGGGAAAAAAGGCCACACAGTGAACAGGAGGATCTATGGGGGTAAGAAGTGCTGACGTTGGGGACAATCCAGGACAGCTGGCAGGGAGGTATCCATGATAACCAAGCAACATGGCCAACAGGACATGCACATCCCAGCTAGGGCAGAAACAACAGGGGACAGGGTGAGGAAAATCTACAAGCAAGCCCTTCTTACCGTAACTCCCAAGGGAGGAAAAAAGATATCGAGAGTTTCTGCCTGCCAGACGTTACGCGTGCCACCTCTAGCTTTCGAAGCATTGCCAGTTCTGGGAGTTGAAGTCCACACGTCTTAAACTTGCTGAGGTTCAGGAACACTGGTCTAGACTAACATTAAGGGAACCCTGGCCCAGGCCTAGCACCGTACAAGGGTCAACTGCCTCCAGAGAGTGCAAAGTGAGACAGGAGCGCCAGGTGTTCACTGCATTTCATTGCGTGGATCTTGCCCACGTGGGGGTCTGCCAAGGAGACGGGAAGCAAGGAACATCGGATATGTCACGACGTCATTGCACAAATGACCGAAAATATGTGTGACATCGCTGTGGCCTCTACCTATGTTCCTACACAGGGCAGAGAAGGTGGGGCAGGTTTCAAGAATAGGTAAGATGAGAACCTAAAGCAGGCTGCCCTTTTCGACTCAGCCATCATCCCCAAATGCCTTAATAAAGGCCTCCCTTTTCTTCCAAAGTACAAACATTGCAAGCGAGCTTTAGGAAGATCCTCTTTTTTACAGAAAAACCTGGGGGTGGCAAGGAAAAGGTGACTGGGGCATTATGCTCCCACAGAGACTCACGGGGCTGGTGACTTTTGGAAGAGGGGGAGATTTTATCCCTTGTATTGCCTAACAGACCTCAGTATTAGTATTAATGCTAATAACAACCCTGTGTAAAAATGCCAAGCGTGCACCATGCTGGTTATGTTACCTTTTAAGAAAAGTTTCCTGGGGCAGCCGTGTTGAACAACTGCTGAATCTCAAGATCCTTAGCAGCCCAATACTATTTAACAGAGAGCCCAAACCAAAAGGGGCTTTCAAAGGAGAAGAGCACATTCTGAAAAGAAACCCGAAGCTACGGAGTCATCTTGCTCGCCCGGGGGGACGGTCAAGTGGTTGCGGCTGGTTTAATATTCTCAAGAGCCTTACAGCTGCTTTGAGGCTATTTACATGGTCTGTGAGAGGCTGGACGTGTTTGCCCCAACTCAGGCCCCAAACTTTCAAGGGAAGGGGGGAAATGAAAACACAAGCATGCAAGCGGCCCTCCCAATATATAAAGCTATATTACAAACTATACATGACATATTGGGAAAGGAACGTTAGCGCACTAAGGAGAAGGTGAATACAATTTGATAAAAAGGCCTTATGGAGAAGGACACGTGGTCCCTCGCTCTGAGGTCGGGCGCCCAGTCCCCCGTGATGGGAGAAGGGATCCTTCCTTCCTCGGGTTCCTGGGTGGCCACCATCATGAAGTCAGTAACTGAATGTTCTTCAGCATCTCATCAAAAGCCTCCTGCGATGGAGCCTCGGCGTTCTGGAAGGAGACCTTGATCCGACTGTAAAGGCTGAAGGACTGCAGCTCCAACCAGATGAAGCCGAAACGGTCGTCATCAAACAAGATGAAGACGCCAGGGGTTCGCTCGGGGCTGGTGAAGCCGTGGCCTGCTATGAGGCCAGTCCCATAGAAGCTACCGGTAGAAGAAGAAAAAGGGCACCATGAGCATTTCCCAAAAATTCCCCAAGACCAGCTGTCCAGTTCCCACACTTGATTCAGATATATAGAAGCAGACATTTCCAAGAAAAGTTAACACGGGTCTCAGTTTAATGCGGGCAGCAGATTAGCCTCCTGGAGCATCAGCAATAAATGCTTAGTCCAAAGGCCCTCACTGACAGTGGTGTGCAGAGTTTCACCTGCCACGACAACCTTTTGCAGAGACAACCGTTTTACATTTTGGCCCACTATTTTAAAAGTTGCTTAGGCCATGCCTCCTGGTTTTGACATGCATTACTAAAATCAAAATAACGATGCAGTCCCCGATTAGTTCTCCAAAGTGGAATTTTAAAGCTTTCCCTCCCTGCTTTGACACACAAAATTAAAACCAAAATATTGCTGGTAGGACTGAAGTGACTAATAAAAAATCTGCCCCAGGAAGGGACCCAGAGAACTGTCAGCTTGACCAACTCCCCAAAACAGAACAGCCTCCCATTATCACAGATCAGGACTTTGGAGTCCTTGGGGTTCTCTGAGCTTGGT